TCTTAAATTTTTCAAAAATAGGATATAAAAATTGCCCTCGCAAGAAATCATTAATCATAAATGGCAATTATATTATTTAATAAAGTTTATTGACGGTAAGAAAACTTTTTATTTTGTTTTATTCCAAAAACGGACAGAACTTTCCGGTAGAACTAATATATGAATTTCAACACAAGATGACAAACTGGTTCTCTTTTTTTGAGGGGGGGAAGGAGGGAAGAGAGAGGAAGTGTACAAAGTCTCGTCTTCTTGCGAGAGTTCGCCGAGCATGGGGAGACGCGCACGCACACTTTTCAGCGTGCAAGCGGAGAGGATCGCGAAGAGAGGATAAGGTCTCTGCGCCCTCGATCGGAACGAAGTTACTTTTATATATCGTCACGATCGCACGTCACGTACCTGTAACTTGAGGGGGTGGCGGGAAAGAAGCGAAGGAGAAAGCAGTCTCCCCGAAAAAGCTTTGCCGTGAAGTTTAAATATTCGTCGATACTTGGTGCGGGAGAGGACGCGACCGGGCGGTCGTCCCCCTTTAAACTCACCTTTTAACTCAACTTGCTTTTACAAACGACGCGGACGCTGTACGACATCGTGTTTTGTGCGCGCAACATCGCGCGCGCGAGCGCTCGGAAAAGCATTAACCTCCTTTTTCACCGAACCTTTCTGTTGCGAGTAGTCGAAGCTCTCTTTCGTGTATTCCGCGTACTCCTGAACTCCGTTCAGGACCTTACAGTACCTGCTCTTCTCGAAGCGCGGTTAAAAATTAAAAACGGCGCTCAAGGTGATCGAGAGAGAAATATACAATGTGTTCCGATTAAGAAAGCGCGTCTTGAATATATCGAATAAATAAATAATTAAATAAATATAGTGTCAATTTTTGCGCTACATCGACGCGTTGTGTCTCGCCAATCGTTACCTTACCTTATCTCTCTTTTCGCGTGAGACGGAGAGAGACAATCGTTCTCAACGAGTATAACGACGAGTATTACGTTCGTTTTGCGAGATAACAGCGAAAACGTACAAAGAAGAAAAGAGTGTAACTATGTAGTGTAGTTTAACAACCAACGTTTTTGTATATACAGCGCGTCGCGTCGCACGCAAACGCGCAAAATTCGATGAAAAGAATAATGGGCTAATAAAATAACAAATAATAGATAGGATTTTTAATGGGAAACGCGAATGAAATTCTAACTTTTGTGTGTTCGCCGCGAGATTAATTTGCGACTCGATAGTCATTGCGCCCGACGCAACGCACCCTGCATATGTTTTTTATCATTATTCATCAAACAAAAATAACAACGGTGTGTATGTGTGTGTACATATATATACACACACGACGCACTGTTTGCCGGATAACAAACACACGAGAAAACGTCAAAAACAAAAAAAAATATATTCGCCAACGCGCGTGATTAACTTTTCCGGGATAACAATTTTCGCGATACGGAGAGCTCGCGCGGCGAAGCGATATAAACTACTTTACATGATTAGTGCGAGAGAGAGAGAGAGAGAAAGAACTACACTATGTAATAACAATGAATTCGTACGTATCTAATAAAATGCCAACCGTTAATTAATGTTCTCGCGCGTTTGAAAGGTGAGCGCGGGAAGAATAACATATCCGCGCCGCGATGACACACAAAAGGTCAAACCGCCGACATCGTCGTCGCGATTTTTTTTTTGTTTTATTTTTGTTCGCATCGAAGATTCGATTCGCGCGAGAAGTTCAACCGGAAGTTCAACGGTCTCGACGATACCCTATCGTCGTTATACTTGTATCTGAAAAAAAAAAAAATTTACGTTTCTCTCGGTTTTTTGTTTTTCTTCCCCGGTGTAAATCCGGGAAATTAAAAGTTCTGATTGAAACTTTTTTAAAAAGGTAGGAAAGTAAACCTCTATAAATTCGCGAAACTACTTCCACTATTAGACGTAAAGAAATTTCATAAGTTTGCTTCTTAAAAATTGATGGAAACGATAAAAATTTTTCTACTCTCCCTCCCTCATCTCGCTCTCTCTCTCTCTCTCTCTCTCTCTCTCTCTCTCTTATTCTTAATTAGAATCTTAGAAACGAGTTTCTCTCTTCCGTTTCTGAAAGCACTTTCTATCGCTTCGTTACGTTAGTCCAAAGCGATTCGGTTGAACGTAGTAGCGTAGTAGTTACTAGATACGCTAGTAACACACACACACACACACACACAAATGACCAGCTTGCTCAGAGCAAGCGCGCGCACACAATGACTTTCAGATAGGCAAATCAAACGAGGCGGATAGTTAAAACCGACATTACAAGACGTTTCGCTTCGGACTCGCTTTTGGACACTTGCCATCCACCTGCTGTACGAAACGGAAGCGAGGAGGAGAAGAGGCACTTTGCAACTTGTCGCGAAATAAGAACAACGCCCGAACAAATTGAACGAATCCTTTCGGCGCGCACGCGATGTGCTCGTGCCACTTGTATATATATATATATACAAGTACACACGTATCTTACACATCAACTAATTTAATTAATTCCGGCGCGTGCAGAGATGCATCTTAAGCTACGTTTTATGAACTTTGCGCGATGTAACGCGGCTACGTGCCGATTAAATTTCTAACAAAAGTTTTTCAACAACGTGCGAGAAGACAGATGTAATCTTTTTTTTTTTTGTAATATTTTCAACGCAACGGTAGGCAAACAAATAAATAAATGTGTCGGGAGAGGAAGAGTCTCGTCTCCGTGCGAGACGCGGCGGAAGATTTAAGGAATGAACTAAAACTGCGAGCGCGTGTCGAGAAATCAACCTTGCAGATCTTTTATTTGTTCTTTTCGCACACGTTTCTGTGAATTAAAATGCAAATGCACACACGAGAAGTCGTTCGATTTTTGTTTCTCCGCGCGTCCAACGCTAAGATAAAAGCGCACGCGGCTAAGATTCCCGCGAGAGAGCCACCGAAACGAGATAACATAGATCTATCCGCGAGAGAGGCAAATGAGAAAACGGCGTTATAAAATAATAAAACAATTATAATTAAAAAAAATAAAACTTACAAATCGCAAAAGAAATTATCGACAAAACGCGCGCGCGTAAAAATAAAATTCCTCGCCGCGGTGTCTCAACGATCAGACGAGTATCAATGGCAGTTGTTGAAAAAAATAATTACAACTAATACGCATTAACTGTAATATATAAAAAATTAATATTTAAAAAAATAACAATATATAAAATATTCGAGAAAAACATTGAGAATCGTGTTACGTTCAATATTCACACATTTAATAACTCTTAAATAAATACGACCGGGATGTTTACTCGTAAATGTAATTATTTACTAGTAAATAAAAAAAAAACAGACTTATTGACACAACATGTGAATGAAATGTTTTTCTCGAATTTCTTCGGCAAATGAAAACCTCTTGCGCCGGGTATCTTCTTCTTCGAAATCTGCGATATATTTGTACGCGGCTTAGAGAGATCAACGCCGTCAGTGGTACGAGCAGTCGCTCGCACCGACACCACAGTGGATGACGACGCGTCGAATCAGACCGTTGCCACACACGCTCGGTTATATCGCGAAGAAGAACGAACGTTATATATCCCCGACAGCGAAGATAGCTCGACTAACGATATATACAAAACCGGCTTTGCGTGATAACGGATAAATGCTCGCAAAGAGTTTAATTGCAAAACATGTACACCGGGGGGGGGAGGGGGCGGGGAAGGGGAGAGAAAATACTCCTTGCGTTTTCGCTAAACTTTTCGGATACTTCTCCGTTATACAAACGAGAAGCGCGGGTAGTTAACGAAATTGTGTAATTGTTGTGTGCGCGCGCGCGCGCGCGCGATACCGAGTTCGGAAAAAGAAAAAAATCTAATTAGCGTATATGGAAAGTTGCTTCGGGGTTTTGAGATAAAGTTTTTTTCTTTAGACAGACACACGCGCGCGCGCTTCGAAACTTTATGTGTGCAACTTGAATTGATTTTAAACGCGAGGAGGACAATTTGCACGCGTAAATTTACGCGTTTGGGACGCAGGAAAATGACCATATAAGGGATTATACGTATCGACACAACGATACCGAGATACAAGCGCGCAAACCCTATCGCTAATCGCAAATCCTCTTATCCGTAACACGTATACGCGCGTTAAGCGGCCTGAATTAATAGCGTGCGTGCCGCCGCGGTGCGCTAACTGTAATCAATCTCAACCCTCTCTGCCGCCCGGTGGGGGTGGTGGTGCTATCGCTTACATCGAACACATCTCTTGGAAGAATTAGTCGTTCGCTCTCTCGAGCGTGCACATATGCGAGCAAACGGACATACCTGGTCGTGCCGATCCAAGGTCAGGTCACTAGGCCGGGAATACACACCAGTGTGCCTGGTTTGTTTCTCGCTTTCCTCCGATAGCTCTTTCCTCGAAGTATCGACAGGTAATGTGGTACGGCGCGATGCACGGACGGGGGAAAGGGGACCTGTGGTGTGTTGGAAGCCGCGGCAACCGATGCGGTACAGCCGGCCGTATGCGCGCTCTCGCACGGTCGGCGTAACGACGACTACGACGACGACGACGACGAGCGACGGTTGAAGGGATGAAGAGACGACGAGCGGGGAAACGTATAAGAGGGAGAGAGGAAGAGAGGGCGTAGAGCAGCCAGCGAGACTCGCCCTCGTTTTCACCGGGACGGGATCAATCCACAGGTGTACCGATTACGACGCTACTACCGACGCTCGCCAGCGAGCGCGCGATGAAGAGACAACGACGAGTGTCGGGGACACGACACGACGACGCTGTCAATTGTTGGACCGCGTCCGTATCCGTCGCAGTCTGTCAACTATCGCGGTATGCCGTGGAGCGCCGAGCAGCAGTCGCCGAGGCACACTCGTGGAAGATACGCGGACCCGACCTAACCCCCTCCACCTTCTTCGCCGAACAACCGGCGGCGGGCTCGCATCGCGCGGCGCGCTTCGCGTATCTACAGTGTGGCGCAAGACGCAAGCACGATGCGCTTATATACAGTAGCGCAAACTCTCTGTCGTCGGCACCTTTTGATGTTTCAGCGTGGCCGCAAATGAACCGCACATGCGCGAGGCTCGACGTGCAAACCAATAGCGTCCGCTTGTCTATCTCCGTCTTGTTTCCTCTCGTTCTCTTTTCACCGTTCACAAACACCCTCTTCTCCTTTAACTTGTTACAAATCTTGTAACAGTACATATATACAGTTTGTTTAAAAAACTTTTGATAAAAACAATTTCTTTTTTTTTTTCTAATTTCTAAACATCATAACAATCCGAAATGATTAAATCAAGTACATAATATAGTTTAGGTACTTTGATTTATTTGCGATTCATTGTCTGTGTTTGTTTCTTGAACAATGTCCTGCTTGAATACATATTCTTTTATGTAATTCCCATTTGTTGGACAAGAACGTTTGCATGTGAAAACAGCCAATATTCCCCAATCGATACACTTGACGTCCCTTAAGTCGAGAAAATTCAACAGCTGCGGCATTATCTGCAAACATGGATGTTCGTTAAATCACATGATTTCGTAACAAAAAAAAAGTAACATTTTTTAAATCAATATACCATAAGAAGAAAATTTAATTACAATGTGTAAAATGTTTCCAAACACCTTTTCTTGAATGGTAATTTAAATAATTGCAAAAAATAATGTAGAAATAACAAAGAAACATAAACATTTCACCTGAAACTCAAACTGCCTGTCGCCATTGCACTCTGAACATTTCGGTACGTCTTCTATTTGATTATGTGGCGAAATATACAAGACCTTTCCTCCTCTGTCATACCTGAGAATACAAATTAAACATTATTTATTCAAATAACGAATGAATTAAATTCAAAGCGGGTTGTTTGGGCCGTTTTGCAAGATGTTATGCAGAGAATGTGCTTGAATATATATATATATATATATATATATATGCACACACATATATTTGACGAAATAATTTTTTTCCTCCGCGTAGGATGCTGGATTTGCATCACATATATAAGAAAAATTCCTCAACCTGATTTGAATTTAATTCATTTGTTATTCTAATAGACTTTAGAGGCCCGAAGAATCTTATTCTTCTTTATTAATTATTTATTCAAGTTGCCAAAATCTCTCGCACAAAACCCAAACTCATTTATTATAAAATACCTTAAAATCTGATCTGGATATTCGTCTATCTTCGCGCGAAATTCCGCAAATATCTCATCTTTTTCGTCACTATTCGCCATTTGCGACAAGTCGTCGTTAACATCCTCGTGCTGAAGAGTTCCAGCTTCGCCGTCCTGAACCATCTTGTTATACTTCTCTAGTTCCTCCTGCTCGCTTTGAAACTCATCGATATTTTCCACACCATCGTCCGTGGAAACGTCGGTGTCTATAACGATTTCGTATTCGGGAAATAAAAAACTGTTGCCGTTGTTATCCCTTTCCGTGCCACATGTGTCCTTGTGGCCGTTCTTCCAGTCGTACACTTGATGCATGCGACAGCAGTAATTGATCGCTCTGCACTTGCTGCAGTGAGAAGATGCCCAAATTCCGCACAATCGACAGGTCTTCGTCCATTTCGACACGTCTAAGTGGAAAACAATCTATGTTTATTTGTTTGTTCCATTATATACTTACAATACATTCGCATGGGGCCAAATTTGTGCCAAATACTCACCAACATCATCGCCCCAGTCCTTCTGCTCCACAGGTGGTTCTGATGAGTAAAAACTATTGCATCTTGCCAACTGCGATCGGAAGACCTTTAAATTTCCATTCTGATTCGGTTTGCAGCAATCCGCGTTCTTGCACACGAATATATACACAATTCGGTGAAACGCGTCGGGATCCGGGTACGGCGCGTAGACCTGGCACAGGAACACGCAAGGATCGCCGCAGTGCTCGCACTTGGTATCGTTTTTGCCGGGAACGTTTGTCAGACCGAGCCAGGCCGGTTTGCCGCCCACTTTGCTGGGAAAGAATCTGCTCTCCAATCGCCAGGACTCGCATTTCCTCACAAATCCCAAATCGATTGCCATGCTGAGAACCCTGGGTTTGAAAATTCTATTCTTCCCTATCCGGTTTTTTTCCTGTCAGAATCGATAAAAGTATCAAAACACACCACGTAGACGCGCACCACGTGCGACCGATCTAACCTAACCCTAACCTGATCTTTGACCCAACCTGATCCTTGACTTGACACAAGCAGAGACCAATGGGAGATCTGTTCCTCGTTGCACTTGTTGCGATTTTTGCACCTAAAAAAGTCTCGTCGTCTTCGATTATTAACAAAAATCGATCGATTGTAAATTGTCAAATGTGATTGATCGATTCTGCTAAATAAACAACCAACAATTCCGTTGGAATAATCGATCGATCGACGCCAATCGAGTTCTCTCCGTGATCGATACGATCTTTATGCTCTGTGCTCATGCAACTTATTTTGTGCGCGACCGCCTTTATTTTTGCATGCGCAATCGTTGTTTAACGCAATGATCTGTCACTCGTCTGTCATTGTTGTTTAAGGTTAACTCGTCGATCCGTAAAACTTTTTGGCGCTTTATTGTAACAACAAAAGTCGTCGCGATCAAAATGACGTCCTGTTTCGAGAACATGCAGGTGCCGTCGTGCGTCTGGTTCGAGGGCGGCGAGAAAAGAAACGCTCTGGTTTCCATGCTCGCGGGCACCCTGGTAAATCTACTAAGTTTGCAATCCCATTTACAAAATCTGTGTCGTACACTCGTCCGGTTAATAACAAAAGATGTTTTTCTTATATACATATATATATATATATGGTGTATTATTTTCCCAAAGTCCGGAACGTAGGGTCTACTGAAGTGTTGCTTTAGTTTTTTGTAGGATGGTGGTTTATAATAGACGCTCACGCAAAGTATCCAAGTGAAATGGCAAACGCATATCATGTCTGTGGAATATTTGGCACCATATCGCTCTTTATGTGAGTAACAGTATCATCTACAGTTGTACATGTTCAATTGGAACTTTTGTTGTTTTTAACACAATACTCGTGTTTTCTCTCTTCTTCTCATTTCAAACAGAAGAAGCAATTTGATTTTGTTTCCTTGACACAGGGTCAATTCGGTAACAAATGCGCAAATAAGGGGAGAAGCTTACAACGGCGGTTGTTTAGGAGCGAAAGGTGCGAGGAGTTGGTTGTTCATAGGATTTGTTATGGGATTTGCAGCGGTTATAGCGGCCTGTTGGATTTTATTTGCCAACTTTGTGGTCGCAGGTAAATTTGTATCCTTGTAACACATCAATGTGTGCAATAATCAGGAAAACAAATGTGTTATCGAGTTAAATTTTTTTTTGTAGGTGCAACTTATCACTGGCCTGGTGTGGGATTGTTCCTGCAGAATGTGTTTATATTCGCAGGCTCGCTCATATATAAATTCGGTCGGTCCGAAGATCAGTGGGGTTAATGGATACGCGCGCGTTGATGATGCGCGTCCACGTTGATCGAAGAACTTTTTTATTACTGTACAATCAATTAACATGTTCACACAGAGCATATTATTAAATCTTGTACCTTTCTCGACCGAAACAAGCTGCTGAGGTGAACGTGTTGAGTATCACATAAGAAACTCGACTGGAGATTTTTTGTAAAATCAGTATCGGTATATCTTATATTGCTTCTAATCGGAAATCCACTTTGATCAGCAACGTTAAAATTTATTATTGCTGCTTGAACGTTTTTATAACGGTGGCGATGTCCACTGGAATTGAGAAAATTAACAGTTACACATATCTATTGATACGCATCCACACGTAAAACCACAATTAACATCTAACAAATAAGAAAATTAGCGACTTTTGTGATGAAAATTAAATACGCCGCTTGTGTTAAAATAAGTTTCACAAATTATAACAGTAGCTTCTTCATGCACTTCCTAATATTATTCTTCTTGTCATCGTTTTTTTTTTTTTTTTTTTTTTTGTGTGCGTGTGCGTGTGTACATGTGCGTGCACGCGAGTCGCGTGCGCGTGTGTGTATTTTGTTTACGTGATATTTCTTATGTGTTATCGAAGTTAAGTAAATAAATCGTTTAGACAATTAAGAATTCTCTCAGTTTTTAGGAGTTAAATTATATATGTATACACATATATATATATATATATATATATGTAAGAAACTAAATTTTATTAAAAATAAAAATAAAGTTTTGCCTAAAAATGTGTGTGTAGAAATCACGCAAAATATTAAAAAAAAAAATTTTATCGGTTGCATCTTAACAAGAGTGTAAAAAACTTCATCCAGGTTGCTGCAAATCGGCCGAAGATTAATTTGGCCGATGCGACCGGTCGATTCCTTCTCTCTCGAGATTTCCACAGATCTCGAGTCTTCGATTTTCAGCCTCAATAGACACAAGACTTCAAGTACCTTCTATGTATAAGTAACGTATATATATATATATGTATACGCACATACATACGTTACGCACGCGGATCGCATTGCAATTGGTTTTGGTTTGCCAACGCGGACCAATACGACACCAGCACTCGTACGTTGATTTACCCAATCCCAATGTGCCACACCAACACATGGTGTATCGGCGACACGGAATTTTGCCGACGACGAGAGCAACATATAGAGTAAACGTAGAGGAGAAGATAAGGTTCGAAAACTTTTTTTCGGTTTCAAAAAAAAAAAAACGACTGCTATGCGCGAACGTGCGCTCTGAATGTTACACAGCTGAGACTCTCGTCTTTGAATAAAAACGCGCATTATTCTGTCGCAAACGCGAACGCAAGGTGAGAGCGTACGTTATTTACTTTTTGTTAAGTTAAGTTTACAAAATTCACGTCGCCGGTATTCGTTGTTAACCACATTTGACAGCTAACACCTCGTGTATCGATACACCGCAAGAGTATATATATATATATATATTTTTTTTTTGTTTTTTTTACCAAGCTGCAAATTTCCGAAATCTTTCTCGACGCTTTGTTTCTCGAAATATTCGAAACCGCATCGTTTCCAGATGGAACTTTCGCGAAGAACCGTGTCGATGACAACCTTGAGTTTGCTCGTCCTCGCCACCTTCATCGGCATCAGCGAGGAATTGGCAGTTATGAGCATTGACATTGGTAGCGAATGGATGAAGGTCGCTATTGTTTCGGTACGTACCAAATAGATTAATTTTAAAACTGAGTTTTTTAATTGCATACGTGTCTTATTGTTTTTGTTTTTTTTTTTTTTTACTTAAAATATATTGACCGCAGTTCTTGACACTCTGAAATTTTGCCTTGCAGCCCGGTGTCCCTATGGAAATAGCATTAAACAAAGAATCAAAGAGGAAAACACCGGTGGCGATTGCGTTCAGGGAAGGGGAGAGATTTTTCGGCGAAGACGCCCAAGTGGTGGGAGTGAGATTTCCCCAGAACATGTTTTCTTATATTCTAGATCTTGTAGGAAAGCCTATAAACAATCCGATGGTACAACTGTACATGAGGAGATTTCCTTATTACGATATCGTTGCTGACAATGAGAGAAAAACTATAGCCTTCAAGTTGAACGAAAATACAACGTACACTCCGGAAGAGTTGCTCGCGCAATTATTGCACAAAGGCAAGGAGATGGCGGAAGCTTCGGCTCATCAGAAGATCAACGAAGCGGTTATCACTGTGCCTGGATTCTTCAATCAGGCCGAGAGGAGAGCGTTGGTTCAAGCGGCGGAAATGGCCGAACTGAAGGTGTTGCAGCTACTTAACGATTATACGGCTGTTGCTTTGAATTACGCTGTGTTCGGTAGAACTGAAATCAATGATTCCGCTCATTACATCATGTTCTACGATATGGGGGCCAGTAGTACCACAGCGGCAATTGTTAGCTATCAAAATGTTAAAACTAAAGAAAGAGGTTTTGTCGAAACCAATCCTCATATTACTGTTTTGGGTGTGGGATATGACCGTACGCTCGGTGGTCTCGAAATGCAAATCAGACTGCGGGATTATTTAGCGAGGGAATTTGACGCGCTGAAGAAGACATCGAAATCCGTTTTTGATAGCCCGAGAGCAATGGCAAAGCTATTCAAGGAATCCGGACGTGTGAAAACGGTGCTAAGCGCCAACGCAGATCATTTTGCTCAGATAGAAGGCTTGATAGACGATATTGACTTTAGACTGCAAGTAACGAGAGAGAAATTGGAAGAGATATGCGCCGATCTGTTTGAACGTGTGGCAAATCCTGTGAAGATTGCTTTAGATACTTCAGGTAAATTATCTTTGAAAATAAAACGCGTTAACTAAACGGGATCGAATACAAATGTTTTTATGTTAATTAAAAATTTGTTTCAGGTTTAACAATGGATATCGTATCGCATGTTGTATTAGTCGGAGCGGGTACTCGTATGCCGAAGGTACAAGAAGTATTGTCTCAATATGTTAAAACAGAATTGTCGAAGAAAGTGAATGCGGATGAAGCGGCTGCTCTGGGTGCCGCCTATAAAGCGGCTGATCTCAGCAAGGGCTTCAAGGTCAAGAAATTTGTCACGAAGGACGCCGTGTTGTTCCCAATTCAAATAGTATTTGACAGAGTTACCGATAACAAAGTTAAACAGGTAAAATCTGATCGCACAACTCTTTTTCTCTATGCGTTCGAAAGTCTTGGATTCTTTTAGTTTCTCCCTATATATTGAAGTCATATTTTTGTGAACAAAGTTTTTCTTTTTTTTTTCAACAGGTGAGAAAGACCTTATTTAACAAAATGAATCCTTTCCCGCAAAAGAAAATTATTACATTTAATAAGTGTACAGAAGACTTTGAATTTAATGTGAATTATTCTGAATTGGATTATTTACCTCGCAGAGAGGTGACGTAAGTATCTGCAGTTTTTTTTCTTTTATTTGTGTGTGTGTGTGTGTACACAAATTAACACAAATTGTTTCTTCGAATTGTGATTAAAATGCAACGTTTATTCAACTGTTTACAGATCTGTAGGCGATACCAATATATCTGCTATATCGCTGATTGGCGTGTCGAAAGCTATAGAAAAACATACCAAGGAAGGAGCCGATATTAAAGGGGTCAAAGCGCATTTCAACATGGATGACAGTGGCATATTGAATCTATTGAATGTAGAATTGTTTTCGGAAAAGTTGAGCACTAACGTCGCAGAAGAAGAGGGTACTTCAATATTTGGCTCAATTAGTAAATTGTTCGCAGGTTTGTGTGAAGGCAATGCAAAAAATGATGCGAACTATCGATCTCCTTTTTATTTATAATATTGTATTATTTTTATATAATATTACACGGATGTGTTGATGTCCGTGATATTTATATTATTCTAATTTTTTTTATCTTGGCAAAAAAAAAAAACATTCTTCAACAAACACGTTATCAGAGAAAGAGAAATCATTTTTTGCAGTTTTACTAAATAAAAGATAATAGAGTGGGAAATGCGGTACTAAAACACAGCAACATAAAAAAAAGCTCCATTTGTCGAAATATACACAGAGTGTATTAAATTTTGCAAGGTTTTACTTTTTTTTTTTAGGTTCCAACGAGAAAGAATCAGAAAAATCAGAAGAGTCTCCGCAAGAGGACGTAAAACCAGTGCATGAAGAACCGGAATCACCAGATGTGCCCAAGGAAACTGAGACGGAACCAAAGAAGAATGAGACAAAACCGAACGAAGAAAAACCTGCGAACAAGACGGAAAAAGCGGACAAAGAGAAAAAGCCGACTATCGTTCAGTTGAAAGAAGTTATCGATACAAAAGAGATCAAATTGGGATCGCAAATATTGTCCGGTGAAAAACTTGCTGAATCTCAGGACAAGTAAGCAAATTGCAATATTTAGCAATAGAACAAATTCAACAAAGTATTTTTCTCTTCAATTTCTTTGTACAGCAAGTTGTTTAATATCTTTTTTTTTTTTACATTATTTTTACAGAATACGCCGTTTGAACGTGCACGATCGGGAGAAAGCGCGTCGTGAAAACGCGTTGAACAATCTCGAGTCGTACGTAATCGATGCGCAACAGAAGCTCGATTCTGAGGAATATTTGGCCGCGGCGACCGACGAGGAAGCCGAACAGATCCGAAAAGCGTGCACCGAGATATCCGACTGGCTCTATGAAGACGGGTTTGGCGCGACGGCGGAAATTTACGAAGAGAAATTGACGGATCTGCAAAAGTTAACCAACGACGTTTACGAGAGAGTCTCGGAGCACCGAGACCGTCCGGAAGTTCTCAAGGGAATAGTCGCATTGCTGAACGGAAGTAGATTGTTCTTGGAGAATATGCGTAACTTGAGCGTAACGACGGAAATTATCACGTCTGTTGAAGTTGAGACGTTGGAGAAGGCGATCAACGAGACAGAGGTAATTTTTAAGCACGGAATCTACGAGATTGAAGAAAGCAATATAATTAGTAGACATACATTGTTTATTTGATAGTTTTTATGATATTAATATTGAAAACATAACATTTTTTTTAAGGATTATTATCAGGCAGCTTTGCGATCTTTCGCCGAGACGTCGATGAATCAACCGGTACAGTACAAAGTCCGTCACATAGCACAAAAGATGGAACTGCTTGATAGGGAAGTCAAATATTTACTTAACAAGGTCAAGATTAGGAAACCAAAACCAGAAACTACAGCGGGTAATAAAACCGAGCGTCCGACGGAAGAAACTAAAGAATCAGCCGAAGAAGAAGAAACCGAAACATCCAACACCGAAGAAGACACGTTAGTTATACCGGAAACCGATAAGTCGCAAACAACAAACACGCAAAATCCAGAAGAGGACGAGCATCAAGAACTATAAGAAATAAGTTAATTTATATAAAAAAGTGTGTGATTCTCTGTTATTGATCGACTTCTCTTCGTCGATTTAGGCAATTTCCGTAGGGTTACCTTTGTGGTGAATGCATTTAAGACTTCAAAATCAAAGTGGGATTTCTTTATGCGTCATTATGCGTTTTGATCGCTTATTGTTTAAAATATAAGCTGTTCCATTTAATGAATAATCCATATTTATATTCAAGATATATAATATATTAATTTTATTCGTCATTAACTCATTACAAAGTTATTATTGAAATTAATCGAAAAAAAATGTTGATCTTATCAGAAACTGTTTAAGATAATTATGTTACACAGGTGCCAAGCAAACAATAGCAAATTCAGCTATTTGACTAATTTGGTGATAAAAAACAAAAATAATAATAATAATAATAATAAATGGCCAGTTCTCCGTGAGAATTTATCTTCAGTCTTTTCTACTATATCAAATTTTTGGGGCATGCAAGATGTTTGCCGCAATTATATCTCAATCATGCATCGTGTATCACAAGATATAGAGTTGCGGTACATACAAATCGTAACACATTAACTCTTGTAAAAATAATAAAATAATTTTTTATATCTGTTAGAAAATGGAGATCTTCTCATACATGGCACAGCTTTGTATGTGCGCGTACACATATATTATATATACTATACATCAGTTTTCGAAACAAAAAAAGTTTATCTTCCACAATTTAATTACATCATCTTCTTCATGAAAAAACTGTTAAATATATTTCTTTTGTTACTTATATGATATTTTGTATAGTATTTATATAATATCGTACAATAAATTATTTCCAATCTTCAAATATATATTTCTCAAAGAAATGGATTTAGTTACTTTGTAAATATAACAAATCCGCACAAAATGTACGGCATATACATACATATATCTATATAAGTTTATGTATAAATTGCATGATGGTTTTTTTTTTTTTTTACAGCCCGGTAAACGTGTTGAGTCTCGACAAAAACTTTCTATCATTCCAATAAAGATGATAATAATTTTGATTTGTTATTCTCTTTCTTCTGTGAGATATATATTAAATTTTAACCTGGTTTTGTCATTCTTTGAATAAAGAACAAAAATATCGCTTCTGTGATAAAAGAATTAATTTTGATATTTAATTTTTTATGGTTTACAGATTTACCACAATAATAAATCTTAGAAATAAATGTATTATACACATTTTTGTGTTATGAATCAATTTATAATAAATAAGCATAATGTGGAAACTATTTACAGATTTGCAAAGGGTAATCTTGCTTCACACATCCAAATGTATTGAAACAATGTGTCGTCCAGGTACCATTACTAATCCTAATACTCTTGCTTCCGTATGTTCTGTAGATAGAAATTCAGTGCACGAGCCCAGAATAACATTGGCATCGCGATCAGTACATAAGAAAGATCCTTTCAACACTCTTCCGTCTGTCATTTCAATTCGCAGACGCCGATTTAACCAGCTTCTTAACTTCTGCTTTGCCGGAGATTCTTCAGGGACAATTGCCTGCCACAATACAAGCGGCGTAATATTTGTTTATTTAAAGATGTGTAATTGTGCGTATATATATACATACATAAAAAACATCCTATATAATTTTAAATTCATAATATATATGAAAACTGATAAAAACTTAATTGACTAATAAGCAAGACAAATACACTATGTGAGTCTAAAAAAAAAAAATTATTAGTACAAATAAAACAAGAATCGTTCGTGTATAATTACCTCCCCGTTTCCAATATGTTCATTGTTGACTATTTTACCTAAATTATGTACCGTCTCCTTCATACTCGTACTCATTGCACTCCCGATTTTTTTACTTTTTACAAGCGGTGACAAAAATATTACAAATTATATTTATATATCTATCTATATATCTATATATATATATAATATATACACATATATGTATATATATATTTCTCGAGACTACGTGAAATAATACTTATTCTCTCATAATTCTAATTTTTGTTTTATTCTCTATGTATACTTTAACAGAATTTATCCCAAATTTTGTCCACAAGCATCTCCATGGCAATACGTAGGTTAGATCCAGTTTCGCCAACTTCGGTTAACATATATATAAACAATTGATTAATTCACAACAAAAGTGACCAATCGCATCGGTTGATCGGCAGAATCGACCAACCCGCAACTGACGCTTCGTCGATCGATTGTTTTTAACTGGAGTAAGATATAAAAGTGGTTCGCAACGTTGCAAGACTTTTTCTACATTTGAAATCAATTGTGATTGGCGAAGTTGACTCGTTGCTTTAGACAAATGGTCTTCGGTCTTATATAAAGACATAAGATAATTAACCAATCAATGCTATCTAGAACAAAAGAAATAGGAATGAAAACGAAAAGCTGGATTGGTTGACTTTCTTATGGCTTATGCGTTTTTTATGAGTTAAAAGTCTGCGGTTCGGCCTTTAATTTTCTAGTGCTACCAACACGCGTCGATCGATCAACCATCTGTTTTTTAACCTCTGAGATAAATTGACGTTTAGCACTTTGGAATGCGTTTGTTGTGAGCAAAGATCTGGTTGTCTGTGATTATTCAGTTGCATTGTCGACATGTTGAAGGCGTCCCTGCGTCGAGCTTGCGGGCTCCTTGTGAGTGATCAGTTTTTTGGAAAATTATGTAGTTTTTAAATTTTTCACAAAATTACGTTTTTATTGCCATATAACCCTTATGTATATCTTACATAATCTCTTCAGTGCTAAAAGTTTCCAAATGAGGCTGAAAGTATGTTATGAAAAAATAAATTCTATAAAAAGAACAGAAACTGTCAATTATTTTATTAGTTGCATATGACGAGGAATATTTTTTGGAGTAAACTTTGCGGAACACATCAACGTGTTCAAATAGAATTAATAACAGGAACATTTGTTCTTCTGTACAAATGGATATTTGATGATTTTTCTAAATTATTTTGAATTCTAATGCTTGATCTGTGATTTTTTGATTCTTACATTCAAAAATAATTTTTTTTCTAAACAGACTCCGAGAAACATTAGGGGAGTGCAAACAACAGCATCTTGTGCATCGGATCAGCTGTTTAATGTATGGAACATATTAATACTAAATGAGATATAAGATATAAATGTTTTTGATAAAATTATAAATTTTATTTTACTGCAGCACAGAGATAGTGAGGAGGACAATCCTAATATTCCATTTGAATTCAATGAGGCAAATAAGAAACGGATCGAAGCTCTTCTGGCAATTTATCCCGAAGGTCACAAACGGGGTGCCATGATACCTTTGTTGGATCTAGCGCAGCGACAACACGGCTGGCTGCCCATCTCCGCCATGCACAAAGTTGCAGAAATACTGGAAGTACCGCGCATGAGAGTATATGAAGTAGCCACATTTTATACAATGTTCAATCGCAAACCCATGGGCAAGTATCACGTACAGATTTGCACCTGTACTCCATGCTGGTTGAGAGATTCAGATTCCATAGTCCAGGCTGTGACAAAGGCCACCAATTGTGAGATAGGCGGCACCTCTGCAGACAAATTGTTCACTGTTTCAGAAGTAGAATGTCTCGGTGCTTGTGCTAATGCTCCGATGTTCCAAGTGAACGATGATTATTATGTATGTATTTCTACTTTTGAATTGAGGATATTATATACTATAT